CCTCGGAGGATTAACAATTAAGATAGAGTGTTCTCACTTCTGGCTCGCCATGTGTCAAAAGAAATGGAAAAATGCGGACAGAAAAGAGCATAAAGGGAGAAAGGCGAGGAGAAAATGTCGAGAAACATATACAGTGAATGTATATCTCGGTTGGTAACGAGGAAAATGCGCGGCCACACTGTCTCTGGTCGCCTTTCTGTCTTCATTGTCGTCGCTCGTGTACGCGAGAGCTTTCGTCGTCGGCGGCCACGGCGTAACACCAGGAAGTGGAAACGCAATCCACGAGGGCTTGTGCAACGACACCGATGCTAGGAACTTCCGTGCTAACCAGCCTCGACGACAATACGACTCGTAACGAGTCATCGATGCGTGCCGTGAGCGGACTCGCAATTATTCCCTCGTGGAATCTGTCGGCCAGCTTTCTAACTCGTATCGTTGTTCAAAGCCTCGTTGTTCAATCGTCGAATCGTCCAATTTCCATTTCGCTCGCTGATTCCAATATTTTGATATTATACGTTCACAATCAGTGTCGATCATTGAGAATAATACTAAAGACTTATGATGTACGAATATCTTTTATAACTGTTACATGTAAGATATTCCAATTGAACATTAGAATTATTGTTTGAACGATTTCGTGGTATACTTAAGCTATAGGCATGGCGATCTTTCCTCTCTTTGCCGTCAGATGTCTCTAGTCACTTTCTCGCAAGTGAATTTTAATTTCTACGTGTACAAATTCGAATCGTATTTTTATTTATAGTAAAAATCTATAGTAATAAGAAATTCTTCTTGATATTAATTTTAGTCCTAATTAAAGAATAAAGGTATACTTAAAAAATGATAACTTCGTGATTGGATTAAATGGGGATATTATTGTTAACGAGATGTTTAATTTTTTACAATTTTTTAACTTTCATATGGAGAATAATTCCATTGCTACTGTTTACGAAAATATGAGTAACCCTAAGGTTATTATTGTTATAATAATACAATAGAGGTACGGCGTCGAGTTTCAAAGTCACAAGTATCCCGAAACACGTGATTTAATAATGTAATTGAAATCCATTGTTTGGTTGGTCTTTCAGGTGATGCAACAACAACAACACATGGCCGGAGGAATGGGTGGCGTGAGACCGCCACCACCCGAATACAAAGCGGCTCAGGCCCAAATGATGCACGCTGGTATCGGTATGGCTCAACAAGCTAGGTTTCCCAATACCGGGCCTATGCGCAGGGTTACGCAACAACCTATGCCACCTTCAGGTGAGTAGAAAATTGAAAAATTGAAATCGTTTCATCGTTTGCATCGATTAATAAAACTTTCTTAAAGAAACTCTAACTCTTAATTAAAAATCTAAATATAGAAAAACTATTCATACCGATTGTTAAATATTGAACAAATTATTGGATAAATATTAAAATAAAAAAAAAAATATCCGCGTTAAATGATAAAAGGAGGGGAAAAAATAAATAAAAGAAATAACATAATAAGAAATGTTCGCGACGAGTAATACACGATCGAGGGAATAACTAATATGTTCGTACAAGTGGAAATCAACCACACCGGCAAGATCCACTCTGTTAATTTTTTTACGCAGACACTAGTGACGGTTACGTCATTTTCATATGGAAGTCGGAAGGCACTTAGGGTAATGAGAATCTGGGCGCTAGTATCGATTCTTTTCGTCGAAACGGCGAATGTTCTTTCGATGCGTGGATTTATTCAGCGGTAGATTTTCATTTACTTTCGAAATTTTATTGAAAAAAATAAAAAAAGAAAAAAAAAGAAAGAAAGAAAAAAAGATACGTGTGTGTACACATTTACCTTTCTATTTTATCTTTATTGCAAATTGCAATACCGAAAACTATAAAACTATTTTGAAATAAAATAACATAAATTACAGAAGTATGAAAATTACGATATATAATAAAATATATTTTAAAAATTTTAAACCGTGGAAAGAAAATTAAATTGTAATGAAAGTTTTTAGAATCGTGAAATTTAATTTAAAAATATTTGACGAAATATATATATATATATATATATAT